CCCGAAATGATATTCTAAGTACGTGGCTGCTCTATACTATACAGAATCTGCTTCCAATCGTACAATTATTTTCAAAAACAATTGGTAATCACTAATCAGTAAATTACTGCTTGTATAAAAATGATTCATCCCCATTCTCAACAGCCAATAATAAATATTTTTTCTACCTATTTGGATATGTTGGTATGCAGATACATATAAGTAACCTAGTTGCCTAAGTTTACAACTTTTACTTTTTATTTTTATAAATGTCTTTTGGGCATTTTTATGAAGATATGTTTGAAAAAATAATACTATATAGTTTCTTTGTTTTGTTCATATCATGTATTTTCGAACTGATATATCCGTTCATTTATGATTATTATTTACCATCGCAAATCACTATATAATATATATGAGGGTTTTCAACTGTAGGTACACATATGATSAGAATTATTTTTAAAACTATAATGTGTACAAAAGTTTTGTTTAATCTTACATAATTGGGTGAAAATTATAAGTTTATGTCAAATAATGGTAACTAGGTGGTGTAATCCTACAGGGCTGTAGATGAATAATATGTAGGGACCAAGGAATTTAAAGGTACCAATAGTGATCGAAGTGGGGGGATACAGTGAGATGTCATAATTCCACTTTTTATAGTTTACATATCCATCCCATACCACTTATTTTATCAAAAATAATACATCCTATTTTTAAGTATTTACAAATATCGATTAATGTCAATGTATTTCATAAAATTTTTATTTTTTAAATAATAATAATTTTACAATATTATAAATATCACAAGTTTTTAAATGAGAAACTAGTTCCTGTTTTTTATCTGATCTAATTGGGACGACTAGACCTAATAAATCTAAACGTAATCTTTTACAAATTTATGATGATAATATAATGATATATTATATTTTCGGAGTAGAGTTCAAATTGTAATTTACAACCTTTTTGATAAATTTTACAAAAAATAATAAATATATTATATAACTAATACAATTTGTGTTTAAAAACAGATTAGCTTTTCTATTTTTGTTTTTTGTTAGTTTAATTTCTGCATAATGCATAATATTAGAATTTGTAAGTAGTATGTATATAATTTATTTAAGCATTATGGTTTTTTCTAAATTTTAAATATATTTATTAAATGTAGGTACTTATTGGTACTATTTAATACATCTTAAAACACACAGAGATGTATTTACAATTCATGAAAATGGCCATGCCGAAAAATGAAAAGTGAATCATAGTTAAACAAAAGTAATAATATTTATACTTGAGTAAAAAATGTAGTAAATACAATAAATGGTAAACAAAATTTTATTTCTATTTTATTTTTATTTAATGCATAACGGCTACTTATATAATATATTATAAATATCATATTTTTACCAGGGACGCATCATATATATGAAATAGTTACATTTCTGGTTTTGATTAATATATTATTTATATAGTTATATATTATATTGTAATATTTATATATATTACGTAATATCATAAAAGTCTAAGCATATAGGTAATATGTACACATCTATTTTACACTAATAATGAATATAAGATGAAAATCAAAATAATTAAATTAAACAATAGCACAATTCGACATCGAGAAATTACAAAATCATAATAATAAACAAATAATATTATTTTTTTCTTTTATCTAACTGCTACGGATATGCAATATTCATGCATTTATTACATAAATATTAAATAGTATACATATCGATTATATGTATAATTTCATAAATAAATAAATAAATTCAATGGGTAAATGTACCTAATTAAAACAGACTATATATATATAAATAATTTATTATAACATCAAATAGATTTAAATATAATAGCTTAATGTTTGCATAATAATATATAGTCATGAATCTGAATATTACTATTACGTCATTACTTTGTCGATCCACGGCACGAAACGCTGTACATTGGTGTAAACGCCTGGCAAATGTTCACGACCGCATCCGATTCCCCAAGAGACTAATCCGATTAGAGTTTTCCGTCCATCCAGCATCGTTGTTAAAGGTCCACCAGAGTCACCCTGAATTGTGAGTATTATTTGATTAGGAATATAATTACATAAAAATTATAATATTTTAAGTGAAAAAAATCCTTTTATACAAAAATGTAGATAAGTGCCAACCTACACGCATATAGGGMTATAATGATAGGTAATATACGAGTTATGTATTAAAGTGATTGAATTTTCCTGTACAGACTGTAGTTTTCTAAATATATTTAATCTGCTTTAAATTAACTCACTAACATTTATTCATATTAAATTCTGAGCGGAGCGAGGAATGTACCTATTGGTTTTACAATGATGTTTATTTCTTTTTCTTTTTTATTCTGTAAACACTTTTTCTCCCTCTAAACTTGCTCAAAAGTATCAAGCGTAGCATTGTTTTTTGAAAGTTAATGTTCTTAAGCTGGTACTTTAGAGAGGTCATTTTTCGATTTTCAAAACAGTACTCAAAATAAAAGCGGTTCTAACCTTAAACATACGATTTCATGATTTCACGATTTTATAATACTAAATAATTATGGACGACGTTTTTTTTTTTTTTTGGAAATTATAACAATATAATTAATATAGTATAACATATCTTAGACTGATGAACCGTTTCCACTCAGAATAGTTTTTCGTACACAATGATATTACCTACATCATTGAATTCAAATTTAATACCATCCTTTACAGTAACCAACTTGTAACCTATTGCACTGCAGAGTGACATCCACTTACTTACCCACTTTTTTTTGGAGTTAATCCTATAATATTCAGCAATTTCAGGTATAAGGTTTATTTCTTGAATTTTAAAATATGATTTATCATTAATAATAATATAATAATAATTTTTTATTATGTATTATGTATTATACATTTATCGCATATATACATGGATGCATAATATAGTTAACGAAATAAATAGTGCATGATAAAAAGTCGTGATAGAAGAGGGTGCCCTGGCGGATATTTAGTTTAATGATGATCTTTTTTTTTTTTACCTACTAATGTTAATTGTCTTTAAGTATCAAGTAGGTCACGTGGCCATTTTCGTTTGAGGCGGCGGGTTGGGTTATCTGGGAGTGAGAGAAAGAAGAGGTTAGAGATGATAGGGTTATGATAGGGATGATTAATAGTATTTTTATGAAATTTCTTGTAGTGGTTTGACGCTATTCGGGGATAGTTGGAATTTTTAGGTCCTTATGAAGAGTGCGATTGTTGCTGACATACCAGGGAGAATTGGTTAAGAGTCGGAAATTGATAGATAGAAAAGCTTGGAATTTATTTATATTAGAGTTTTTTGAGGTTCCCCAAATTTTTATGCCAAAGGTCATTACAGATCGAATGATTTGTTTATATATGAGAAGTTAATTATTACCTAAGAGATAGGTTAGATCGCAGCAGCTGTCTGAATTTATGGAGTTTAAGATTGAGGAAAGTTCTTTTGTTTTTATATGGGTTGTCCAATTTAGTCTTTTGTCTAGTTGAAGCGCATTACATAAAAACTATATCTAACATTTTTAAATGTTCGTCTCACGAATACAAATTTTAACTACCGTGTTCAAACTTACATACCTAATTCTTTGTTCCAAAGCTTTTTTTTTTTGAATTCAGATTGTATGTTTTTAATATATTATAATTTAAAAAAGATTATTTTATAATATTGGAGAAGTCATCATTCAATCATTTATTCCCTTTTTAATGTACCTACCTATATCCATTATACTTCACCAGTAATTTCAGGCGTGAGGTGCAAGTGCAACAAGTTAGCCTAATGTTTAACAGATTAAACAGATAGCTAATACCCGTCAATAAAATTTGAAATAAAATGCCTTTTAACAACGTAACACAAACCTGACAACTGTCCCGTCCACCTTCTTTATAGCCCGCACACAGGAACACATCATGAATGGTTTCCCTTCGACCCGCTGCTCTAAACCATCTCTGACATCTTTCATTCGGTATTACCTCAACTTGCACTTCTTGTAATACCGTAGGAACTGTTGCAACTCCTGTATTTAAAAATTACATAATGTTAAATATTAGATTTTTTAAGCTGTTTTTATTTAAATATAATTTAGATATTATATCACATATTATTATATACTCATTTGTAAGTTTTTAAGTTTTTTTTTTTTCATTGAAAACATTTGAATATTTCATATACCTTATTTAATATTATTAAAATGTTTCTTATATTTTTAACTGCCTAGTATAAGAGAATATACTTTCATAAAATACATGTTTCATATTTGAAAGGAATGCCGAATGAAGGAATATAATTTTCAAAGAGCTTATATTATACAAGGTGTAACAGATAGAACTGACTTTTGGAATAACTTTTGTTCAAATTAATATTTTTTTTTTCAAGTGACCCAGCGCTACATGTATAATATATTTTTTATGTTTATATATTGTACTGAAAATAAAATAATTTAAATTTAATTAAAAAATTAAGATTAAATTCAAAATAGCCTATTTGTGAATCTGATCATAAGAAAAATTTTGATGGTAAAAATATTTATCTAAGTTAAGTAGTTTATTTTTTAGAATTTTTTTATTAAATTCATTTGGAATGTAATATTTTTTTTTTTAAATATGATTTTTGAAAATATATTGACATAAGTACCTATATTTATTAAATTATTTACTTATCATATAA